GACAGAAATTTGAGCACCATTTCTGAAAAGCACATCCTCACCTCCCTGTAACCTCTGTAGCATCTCAAGTACACCTCCATTATTCATAACCATAAAGTCCCCTCTCTATTTATGCATATGCGCTAAGTGCACAAACATGCACTGAAAAATAAAAAATGTGGGGTTTTCTGAGGACTTTCATGGAACATGAGTTTTATGTATGCACACAGATCTGCGTGGTTGTCAGCAGTGGGCTCTGTAGGTAGGATTCCCTGTGACTCAGCTCCCTGAGGAGAGTCTTCCTCATTTCCCTGGAAACACGACCAGTTTTCCTGCTGACAAAGTCAACCACCCGGGCTGCTGTGCTGCAGGATATGGATAGAAAACCGAAGCAGGAACTGGCCTGAGGTCCAGCACCGGCTGAGGGAGAGCGTGAAGGGGTGTATGAGGAGAGAGAAGGTTGGTGTGTTTGCTGCTGATCGTAGCAATACAGTGAAGACCTGCACCTCTTTCTATCTCTTTCCATCTCTTCTCCTCCATTCAGCTCTTTCTCACTCCCACACCCTCTTCCACCCTTCCTCTCCTTTACTTTTGTCCCTTTGCTGTTCCCTCTCTTTTTCTGCCAATATGCAACTTGGACTACAGTGTCAGGTCTTTTTTTTTTTTTTAAGTTACGACTCAGTGGGGAACTATCACTTGTCGGCGTGCTGCAATACTGCCGACGGCACACTGTTTCGCACAAGCCAGATTGATTTCTATGTGCATCTGGGAAATAAAAGCCTAATCCTTTTGGAAGCAGGGATTTTAAATTTCAGGACTTTTTGGCGTTGATGCTTTACACACTGCCTCCTCATACAGGGATTACAGCAGTAGAGTGGGAGACGTATACGAACATAAAGATGTGTCAGTATTTCTGTATAAAAAGACGAGTAAACAGATCTCAGCAAGTAAGGTAGACTTTCTCCTCCAATTTTATCTCAGGAAAGATGACTTTGTCAAAAACTTTTACCATATTTCTCATATTATGTATTCAAATAAATGTGTTAAACATGCAACCTTCCTCAACAGACTTACTTGCTTGTTGCCATTGTGCTGATGGAGACAGGACACGTTCACCTCTGACCCTCTTGCCCCACACTCCTGGGACGTCGGTGTAGGACAGCTCTCTCTCCCCGTGTCCTCTGGAAGGATGGAGGTAAGACCATTTCTATCTGATCATCACTTTTCAGACACATTCTCAATCAATGACGAGGCTCTGTTGTGTAAGCATGTTTGAGTAAGCATGTGTGGACGCTTACACAGTGTGAGACCTCAGCGGTGTGTGACAGGACAAGGTCAGCCAACACTGAATCTGGCTGAGATCAAACTGACATTTTATTACGACACAACTTGTGTTGTTAAGTGTGTGTTTGTATGTGTGTGTGTGTGCGTTGACTCAGCATTGTCTCAGCTGCTGAGACTCAGGTTCCCTTCCTGCAGCTGAAAGGTGAGCAGGCACACAACATCTCTCATCAGTGCTGAATCTCTTCAGCACTGCTCTGTCATCACCGCCACTCCGATAAAAAAAGAAAGATGGCTGAGAGCCACTAGCAAGATTTTGGCACATGTTGAAACACTTCAGCACCCCCTACTTCTGTTTTTTTTTTTTCTTGAACCAGCAACTGGCATCAAAACAATTTGCACAATTTTAATTTCAGTTCAACAATAAATTATATTAATTAAATTTGGGGACAATTAAACTCACTTGTATACACTTAATTTTCACTATAAATGAAGCCCAAATGTAAATGTATCATGTCTGTGTGATCTGAGTCCTGTGAACCTTTGACATTAAGAGTAGCTTACTAGACTTTAATACAATATTGGCACATTTTCTGATCAAATATTCAAAACGCGAAACTCCACATACCCCTCCTCATTGATGTAATACAGCCCCAGGACTCGAACTTAGACCATAACGGCAGTGTTTAGAAATTCATAGTCTCTTGATCCTATAAATGGGTAAAAAAATAAATACTTAATAGCTGAGCTCTTTAAAGAGACTCTCTTGTTTAATGAATTCTTCATGTGACTACTTGACCACACCAAGTGAAGACACTGGCCTGTGCTGCTGGGGTGCGTAACTCCTGCAGTTGGTTAAAGCATGTACATGGAAAAGTGTTCTAGCACTCTCTAGTGGTGAGTAGTTGAAATATATATATATGCATTTACCTGTAGCTGTACTCTCATCTTCTCTGTCCTCTTGAAGCATCACTGACTCATCTCTCTCTGTCCCCTTCTCTTCTGGCTTAGTGTCTCTTCTCTGTGACTCTTTCGCTTCTCTACAATCTGTCTCAAACCTTATCTGGACATCAGAATGACTCTGTTCTGTCTCCATCTCATATTCAGTCCCTGTTTGAATTCCTGAATTTGCCCTGCTCTCAGTTTGCACTTCAGATCCACTCTTCATCGCTTCATCTACTCTTTCCTCTGTGGCTCTGTCCAGGTCATCAGCAGTGGCATCACACTGGATTATTATATTGGGCTCAGATTGCACCGGTGCTACTTCTGGGTTCACCGTGTGGGTTCCCCTTTCTGTACTGGCAGTATAACACCCCACTGGTATCTCTTTACTCTCAATGACAGGTGGATGCTCAACATTTTTGACTTTATTAAGTTTGTACACAGTGTCATTATCTTCTTTCTGCCCTGACTTTGCAATCTCAGAACAACAAAGGAAGCTTTGGTCCATATTCCTCCCTACGCTGGTGATCTCATTGGTTCCCATTAGAAGTCCTTTAATTTCACTGGGTGATCCTGTCTTATTTTGTAGGGTTGCATCCACTTGTCCTTTCTCTTTATTCTTAACCCCATTTGCTCCATTGTGTATTTCATGTTCGTCATCGGACACATCCACTGTCTGCTCCATATCTTCCTCCACAGCTACAGGTCTCATTAGCTTGGGTGAATTTGAATAACAGCTTGCCTCTTGCCTTGTTACATAACCACTGGGAGGTAAAAGTGTCCTTCCAGTTTTGATTGTTTGAGCCTCTGATTGCAGATATAATATCCCTTCATCTTCTCCTCCACTAGTGGCCTCTTCAGTAGAGTCAGACAGAAGTAGCTTTCCCTTGGGCCGAGTGTCTGAAGCTACAGCGCCTTCTAGTTGATTTGGGTTGATGAGGATGTTCCAGCTCTTTGTATCTTTCAGGGGACCTGATGTGCTATTATCTGTATCATAACTAGTGATATGACAGGATGAGACTGAATGATAAGTCAAAACTGGCTCCTCTTTATGGGTATCTGGGTTTTCCACTGTGGGGAACAATACCTCATAAGGACTTCTATCGTCTGGAGAAAGACTGTGGATGAAAGATGGCCTGATTTCTTCAGTGTTGCTATGAGAGAGAAAAGAGAATGAACAAGTTTCCAGCAAGATCCCAGCAGAAGAACTAAGTTAAACTTCTGGCTGTTTTCTTCACATCAGCCAAAGTAATACAGTACATGAATACCTACAAAAAGTAGATTTAATAGAAACCCTATTGTCTTAAATACTCTTACTACTTACTTTCTCCACTGATGTTCAGGAAGCTTCCCTGGCATTTGGAGAGACAGGTTGTGTTTGTCTCTATGGGAAAAGATTTCTGCCGCCTTCTCAGAAACCTCACACTGAATCGATGATGGAGCCTGGCTGGACTGGTAAGAAGGGGGTTTGGAGTGCTTTCTGTGGGAATAGGCCTGTGAGCACTGATAAGAGGCTTCAGTCTGAGAAGTCTCCCTTTGGAGTGAGAAAATCCAGCAGGAGGAGGAGGAACAGGAGGTGGCTTGGGATGACAGGGAGCTTTCTGGTGTCTGCGAGCACTGATAGTCGGCCAAGGTCTGAGAGATCTGCCTCTCACTGAAGGAGTCATGGTGAGAGGTGAGAAATGAGGACACCTGGGGTCTGGACCATGGCCTGAATTGTAACATGGGAAGAGGGGCTTAAATTTCACTTCTCATATTTAACACTTTCATAACGAGCATTCAGGATTAGGACTTCATGGTATTAGCATATAAATAAGGAACATTTATATACGTTAAGTTAAAATATATTAACTTTTTAGAATAATTCAACCAAATACTATGAGTAAATGTCCTCTGCTCTTGCACTATAATAAAGAGTCAAACTACTGTTTGCCATGACTGTGCAGACCAGGATGCCTCTGCAATTGTAAAATGTAAAATGGATTTTCTAACTGAACCCAAGTGCATGTGAGGATAACTGTGCGTTGGCTTTACTTCACTTGATTTGATTTACCGATCTGTGCCTCTGTCTTTTCTCTCCTCTTGATTCATGTTCCTGCTGGTCTGGACCCAAGGCTCCCTCTGGCTGTCATAAAACCTCTCCACTACCACATACACAACATGGGGAAGAAATATATAAACTCCAAGGGAATAACAGAGAAACTAAAACTGTGAATAATACATATTCAGTGTTGAGCTGTACAAACATTTAAAATTAGTCTGACCTGTTAATGCTACATCATGTCTCCTCCTTTCACTTAACCCATACAACACATGACCACAAAATGTAATTTATTATTATTTTCTAAGGAAAAGAATATATAAGAAGCACAGTACTACAAATGTTATGTTATGATCAAGGCTTGACATATTTTCTTATCCATAATATATGACAAGAGGCTTAAGTAAGATTTTCTCTAATTGTGTCCTGACTGACTTTGCCTGTGATTGTTGGAGTTACTCTGGGCCTGAAGAACAGCCAGAATCTTCTGGGCCGCCTGGGACAGAGGTCCTGAGTACAACCTGCAGCTAGACTGCTCCATCTCCACCCTATCAGCACAACTGTTACTCTAACTGAGGGTCTGACTCCTCAGCTGTCTGACCTGAACAGGACAAAGAGACAAAAAAGGAAGAGAGATCAGTCAGTAACACAGAACTGATTTAAACTGGCATCTCAAAATGTGCAATAACGTATAACTAGTATGCTGCGATACCTCCAACAATATGTGCAACTTTACAATGACAATAGTGAAAACAAATAACATGAACATTTTACTTTATTCATCAGATGACTTAAAACATGGAGACAATGAATTCCAACATTTTTCTGGGATTAGTTAACGGAAGATTCTTCATATGACATTCAGAATCCCAGTCATCGTATACGCAACAACTTTCTTATAAAACCAAACTTTTCAACCAAGTTGAGCATCGTTCAGAGGAAGAGGATTTCAAGGATTGATCTCCGTCTCGCAGACAAAGTTCAGAGGAAGTTTCACACAGAGTGGGGCTTCTCAAATCAGCATCTCTTCAAGCTTCAATTGCATAGCTCACCACCCTTTGCACAAAAACTACACTAAGAGTTTGAGTTGACTATAAGAAAATCTCCTCATCCATTCTTGTGTCATTGACTATCGCTGTCCCCTCTTCGCAGGCATCTTGCCCTCCAGATCTTCCACTATTTTCTGCAGTAGTCGGGCATCCAAGTGAAAGTAGATGTATAATTGTCTCTCCCGCCTCAGAAGGGCATTGCGCTCCAGCTGTGAACGTTTGGCTTTAACCTCCCCCATGATTTCTTGCATTAAGTTTTGCAAACTCTGCAGCTGTGACTCTGCTTCCACAAGCTTCGATGTCAGCTCCTGTGGAGACAAAGTACGAGGGATGAGAAAAAAAGTAAGGAATAGTGAGCACATATCAAACTAAGATGTACCTGAACCATCTAATGGCCACCTTTAATCACCAAAACAACTTATTGACAAATAATTCTGATAACATAGGTATTACATATCAGAAAATTGACAACAGTATAAAGTTAACTTTCCGTGTTAAATCATTGCCAATGTCATTAATTTAAAATCTCGTTTAATCAACTAATCCACAAAGGAAACCTGTTGTGAATAAGAAAACTGATTTTATTTGCTTTTCTTGCAACACTGTGTGGACAAAAACTGTTATGGATATGCTTTTGGTCAAAGAAACATGAAAATACAAACAAATGCACATAGACAAATCATACAAAATATAGTTAGTGACTCTGAAACTGAAACTTCTGCAAGGTTTGAGGGGAAAATACCCTTTTTATTGTGACAGTCAACAGACCAATACAAACATCACTGTGCCTTATAATATAACTTGTCTGATCCAGCTAAGCAGTTCCTCCTGAGAACCATTTACCACACAGTGCTCATATACCAAAAACCTTTGCTGCTTTAAGTTAAGTACTTGAAATTGTTATATTTGTGAAAAGATAGAAAAGGTGGTGCCACCAGCTAACCTCACCAACAGTGACAATTTAAAAAATCAGCAAACTCACATTAAGGATTTCTCGTGTGGTCGACCAACATGTCTGTAACTTAAATGAAAGGAAACACACCAACCTGTGCATTGGGGCAGAGCAGCTCCTGATCTGTGCTGGCCGTTGGACATACCTGAGGCCCCAAGATCAGCTGCTGAAGCTCTGTGTACATGGCCCTGTGAAGCGCATCACAGTCAGCGTTGAGGCGAGCGGTGGTGTAGTGCTGTTCACGGCCAGCACCAGCTAAGGCATCTCGGGTCACCTGGAGGTTGCCTGCCAGGTCATGAGCGGCCTGGTCCAACGCTTCGTATGTCCGAAAAGGCTCTGATCGGCCATGATCTGAATCGTGGTTGAGGATCTGGAGCAGTCTGAGGAAGGCATTGGAAACAATGAGTTACATTCCAAGGTAAGACAGAATACATTTAAACAACACAATACAACACAGGTATTACAGAGAAGGTGAATGAACCATCCTTCATGTCCACTTAAAGTATAAGTAGTAATTAGTAAAATAATGTGAATGTTGACATTGAGGAAAAACACATTTAACAACGAGCTAAAACTTTTAAAGCTATGAAACTGTTCTGTATTACACCCTGACTCTTCCTACCTGCTGAAGGCTGCATCCTTGCAGCTGATGATGGGATTCATCCTGGGGTTAATAGCCAGGTCGGGATGTGCCAGGGACTCAATCCTGAGAGTTGCTGCTTCACCTTCCTTTACCATTCTGCTGTTTACTTCTGCCAGGTGCTTCAGACTCGTCCTCCACCTCCTCAGCTCCATCTGCTGAGCCAGCAGGACCAGGTCAAAGGACGCTTTCTGACGGAGAAGGTAGTCACGAACCTAAGTGGGGAGAGTTATATTTCATTTTACTGCGGCTGTTGCTCTGTCCAATGGCAGAGGTCGTTTCATGTGTAAGAGGCAGCAATATAAATGTTTTTGATTCCAACACTCTTCACTATCTCCACCAGTTTGCTCGCTGTAACTGAACTCTGTACATGAGAATATTACAAAACATATATCCTTTAGTTTATCACAGAATCAATCCCATGGTGAAATGTAAGGTGCCACCTACTAACCTGATCCTGCATGGAGGTATAGTAGTCCTGCCTGGCCACTTGCAGAGCAAGGTCTCCCCTCACTACAGGCACATTAAGCAGCCTGGCTGACTCCCTCAGTGCAGCAGGTACTGGTCCATGAAGAAGAGCCTCCAGCTCGGCCTCCACAGCCTGCAGCTCCTTCCTAGACACGACCTCACGCACATGTAGCGAGGAGGAGGTGGAAATGCTCTGACAGAGTAAAGAGAAAGTTATGAATGAGAGCTCAAGAGAACAGTGATACTATGTAAAATATTAAAGAAAACACAGTTTACTGTATATTTACCTTAGTATGAGCTGATTGCTCTGACAGCCAATCCAGCCCAGCCTCGACACTCTTCTCCTCTGCCATTGCCTGCATCAGTTGATGTTGGGTCACAATGTGGGACCACTGAAGTCTGGCCATCTCAGTCCTCCTGCGCTCCACCACCCGCACATCCTTCCCTTTCCCCTCATGCTCTTCCTTCGTGTTCTCCTCCTTATCCTCCTCACCTTCTTCACAAGAACTGAGGTCGAGGACCTGGAAACGCTCAGAGCAAGAAGTCTCAACAATGTCAGAGATGCCCTGGAAGAAATGCTTCTGAGTGAAGGCCGCTAGTGTTTTGGTGTTGAGCTCCTCCTGGTGCAGATAAGGATCCAAGGACAGCTGAGAAAGGAGGACAGTGGGCCTTTTGGACATTGAGGTGTGTGACGGGGCCACCGGTTCTGGCTGAGCAGGGACATATGAAGCAAGATTCCTAACCTCATCCGTTAGGTTTTGTAACAGAGTGTTGGTGTCAGCATTCTCACCTCCAATAGAAGTACTGGCCTCCTTGAGCTTGCACGCAGCACTCTCCAGCTCTGCAGCGAGTTGTAGCTCAACATCTGCACGGGAGGTGGCCACAACCTGTAACTTATTAAAGCGTCTCTGCTTCAGCTCTCTCTCTTTACGCAGCGCTTGGAGCTCTGCCTCTAGGTCCTCCACGGCCAAATCGCCCTCTGCTGCAAAACCAGAGGATGAAGATGAGTGTCCTAAGATGTTTCCACTGCTCCCATCTGAGGGTCCAAGGGTTTTTAGGACCTCTCCCAACGCTGTTTCATCCAGAATCGGTTTGCCGGACTTTCGTAGTTCCCGAAAGGCCTGGGCCTCTTCCATGGTGAGAACATTGTTGCGGTTGAGGGACCGACAGACAAAGCGCAAGAAGTGAAGATTCTCCGGAGCACAGTCAAACAGCCAGTCGAACTCAGAGCCCTTCAGCGATGATGCATCTGGATAACCTAGACGGCCCAGCGCCTCCACAAAGTGGCCACCGTTTAACATGGTGGCTCTGCACCCTGTTTCCCCCTTGTTATTGTGCTAGTCAATCACACAGCAGCACAATGACAAATGTTGAGAATGATGTTAAACAGTAAACAATGAAGATATGGTGAAAACAACTTCAAACCTTTCAGTCACAACTGCTCCAGAGTAAAACAGGTCCTACATGAAGCTGCCTTGTTAATCTATCAGCTGCATCATATCCAACATGTTGGATGGAGATTAAAAGCTGCTGGTTTTAGTAGGAGTTAGCTCGTGCCTTGCTGTAGCTGACATGTTGCACAGATAACGTGTATTTAATATCTGCTGCGACAAGAGAAAGACGCCGACATGTTGTGTCCCGTCGAGGCTTAATGTCACATTCTGTTTTGATCCTCAGAGGTTGCGGTGGGTGTGTTTCAACTGCCTCTACTTTTAGCTAGCTAGCATTAGCATAAGCTCAAGTCTCAACAATATCATTCAGCTCCAAGGCTGTGGTGGAGGCTAACTGGGCTAACGTATGCTACACCGCTGTGTAGCTAGACAGCTGCTAACAACGGCCGGTCAGTAGCTAGAAAGCATCGCTGGCCCACTAATAGCTGCCGTAGCTCGTGCTAGCTGCGTCATTGAAAAATAATATAATGAACAAACTTACTTCTTTCCCTCGTTACCTGCGCTTTGCTAACAAACTTAGCCGGTTAGCTTCGCACCCGCCAAACATCCAAACTGACGCGACGTCACCACGCAGAAGTGGGGGGGTGAAGACGTGAGACGTCATTACGCCGGAAGTAGCGCCTCAAACAATCAGCCAATCGGGTTTGACGAAGGAGGCGCGACTCTCTCTGGGTTCCCGCCCTGTCTGTTGTCCCAGCGGCATGAAGTGAGATCTGCCATTTCTGAGTCAGGAAGACAACAACACCGGCGAGTGACTGAGTGAGTGAGTGAGGAGGAGGGGACACATCCATTCATTGAGACGCTGCTCGTGAGACAACGCGTTTAAATACGAGGAGAAGAATTAGAGTGAGTGATGAGCTGCTAACGTAGAGAGGGAGCCTCAGGAAACACGTGTGTCAGACTTTTAATGAACTTCTCTAATCTCTGATCTTCATCCTTCTCATCATTATGTTCATGTTCATCACATGTTGACTGATGTTTAGTTTTCTAGATGGAAATATTCCCACTTCCTTGGACTTCTTACTGTTTTTCCTCCTCGTGATTTGAACGTGCAGGTTTGTTTTCATTTGAGGTTAATGCATTTCTCTGTACCTGCTGATTTGCATTCCACTTTTAATTTAACGCCGCACAGAAGAGTGGAGCTAATTATAGCCACTGAGCCACCCAGCCAGGATGGTACAGAGAAACGTATGCAATGATAATAAAATGCTGCTGCTGCTGCTTGACACATGTATCAACAAGAAAAAGAGATTTGTTAGAGTTAGTTTGTCACTTTGAGCTGATTTCCCTCAATTCTCTCTTTTCACTTTCTTTCAATTTAACAGGTAAGTGATATAAGCAAGTTTCCAGCCATGGTCCAAGCAAAGACGTGGATCCTGACCAAGCATTTCGACGGCTTCCCGAAGGACAGCGACTTCCAGCTGAAGGTGGAGGAGCTTCCCGAGCCCAAAGATGGAGGTATATGGTGTTTCATTCTATTTCAAAGCAAGTTTTATAGCCCATACTCTCAAATCACAATACGCCTCATAGGGTTTAATAATCTGTACAATGTGTGACATCCTCCGTCCTCGACATTTTACTGTAAATCATAAATTATTGTTAGGGGGGTATTTTATTTAAATTTTGTATTATTAACTCATGTCATTTGCCTCTGACCTGTCACATTTTATCTTGTTTTGTAATTTTGCTGTTTAACTAACTAATATTATTCACTGACTTTGTTTCCGCGGACACTGTAAAACTCTGTCGTTCTTCACTGTCTTTGGTTTAGAGGTGCTTCTGGAGGCCGTGTATCTCAGCATCGACCCGTACATGAGGTGAGCGGAGAGGAGAATCATTCATCCAGAACATTTTCATAACTATTTTCACTGCAGATGTTAATGAGGAGAAAAAAAAGCATATTTAAATGTAATGTGTGATGTCTCTCCAGACCGTTCAGCCGGGTTCGCATGAAAGAGGGTGATGTGATGATTGGAACTCAAGTGGCCAAGTAAGGAACACAAACACACCCAGAGAAATGTCTTTGAACTGTCATGATGCACGGGCCCTGAATCAGAGCAGGGCCTCCACCTGCCTGTGATTACCGCAGCCCTTGATCCACAGTGACTCAATCGAATTGTTCTTGGCAGAGGTCGGACGCTCCATCTGTTCCCAGAAGGAATGTTTTTTTGTAGATAAACACAGAATAATAAATGACTTAGCAACCAATCTTTCCTCAGATCCTCTAAATAATTACTTTCAAACCCACATTTTTTTTTTCTTTGCTTTGTTGTCGACCACAGTGTGTAAAACTCTCTAACTGCCTGCGGCTGGTGGACCAGAAGAGTTGCAGCTGTGACAAATCCACCAAACTCTGTGTAAAATCTAAAGGTTTCCTGTTGAATATTGGAGATAAACACTAGTTTTTAAATGACTTTTAAAAGTCTTTTTGACTGATGTGAGCTCTGCATACATGTGACACCATAGATTGAATGGGCGACAGGTGTTGACGCTCTTCTTCTCTTGTTTTTCTTCTGTAGAGTGCTCCAAAGTAAAAACCCAGCATTCCCCGTGGGGAACCATGTTATCGGGCGCTGCGGCTGGAGAACCCACACGCTCAGTGATGGCACGGACCTCATTCCCATCATGCCTGACTGGCCACAAGACGTCTCGTTGTCGCTGGCTCTGGGCACCATCGGCATGCCAGGGTAAGACAAACCGAAGCTGAATCCTGAGGTGTTAAATCTACAATTTTAGGTTTTCTAAGAGACATAAATCTGCTGCTGGTTGTCCCAGCATTTGCATAACTTCAGCTGTCTTTAGACTTGCACTGAAGTCCAGACATTTTCCAGGAACTTGACTAAACATTTTGTTAAACTTTTCTTAGTAAAGTGTCAGAGGGAGAACGTTTTGAGAATACAGTAAGACAATTTACAGGAAGTGAGTGGGTGTGTTGATGACTGATGATAAACAGGCATATTACAAATATCTCAGGGTGACGTCTTCCTGTTGTGAACGCGTCTGAACAGGACGATCTCTTGCTGCGTTCTTCATATGTGAAAAACTAAGTCCAGAAAAGGTCAGGACCCAATTTTGTTCATGGTCAAAAAGGGCTGTAGGTGATCATGGTGTTCTCTCCGCTGAATCATAAAGGAGGTGGCAGGTAAACTTGGCTTACTCCCATTTATGAATTGTTATGCCCAGAACAAGTAAGTAGACATTCCCTGAGTGGATATCAAATCAGGTCAGACTCTAAACCTTTCTCTGTAAATGTTTGACTGAAAAGGGAGTGTGTTGTTTCTCAGCCGAGGAGAATGGCTGAGTTCTGTCTTCCTTTGAGAAATAAACAGATAAGAGTCCAGATGTTTGTTCTCCTGGTGAGCTGAACGCACCTTAAGAGCACTGATTACCTCGCTATGGAAACAATTACAAAGAGTCTACTTCAGAGGTCACAGAGGCTTCTCCAGTGGAAATGAAGGGAAACATCCCTTCATGCTTTTCAGCTGTTAGATGCTTAATTTCACTTCCTCTCCCTCTCTTTCTCCATCCAGACTCACGGCACTGTTTGGCATCGAGGAGGTGTTGGGACTCCAGAGAGGCGAGACGCTGCTGGTGAATGCTGCAGCCGGTGCCGTGGGCTCCGTGGTGGGCCAGATCGCCAAGATCAAGGGCTGCAAGGTGGTGGGTTCGACTGGCTCTGATGCAAAGGTGGCCTTCCTCAAAGAGCTGGGCTTCGACGAGGCCTTCAACTACAAGACTGTCGGTTCCCTGGAGGAGGCGCTGAAGAAAGCTGCTCCGGAGGGATACGACTGCTTGTTTGAAAACGTAAACAGCCTGTAAAGTGTCCTTGAGAACTTTTTGTTTGGTCGTTCCACTCTTTCCTATTTTTGTTTTTCATGGGCCTGTTTTGATCTCAGGTGGGAGGCTCATTTTCAAGCGTTGCCTTGCACCAGATGAAGAACTTTGGAAGAATCGCTGTGTGTGGGAGTATTTCTGTGTACAATGACTCCACGCCTCAGATGGGTGAGCTTTTTTTTTTACCGCTTTTAGTAGATGCCTGCTTTTGCAACGTCGTGGTGACATGCAGTTAGAACAGTGTATAAAACCTGGAAATATAGATGGGGCCTTTGCAGACGGCCTGGAACTGTATTAAAATAACCGAATATCCTGGAAATGATCTCTATTGCCCTGGATTTTTTTCATTGTATTGTATAGCCTCTTAGATGCATTGCCTTTGTAAACTGCAGTGCATGTTTAATTTGAAATGTAAGCAGTATAACAGGTATGTCCTCTCCTGTAACTCCTGCAACAACAGACTAGGGGTGCAAACCACAATCCATTCCTCAAACCATTGCACACAACACAGATCTTACAGTCACACGAGGGACATGCATAGAAGATATTGCTTGGATGCCACAGTTCAATAAACACTTGAAGTAATTCGAGTAACAAAAAGATATTTGCAACCAACAAGTCTGACAACATGATTGTAAAGTTGGAAAAATAATGGATCCATCACAACGAAACTTTTGCTGTTTAGCCACTGGGGGGCAGCATTGTACAACTGAAAAACTGCAGACATATAAACTGACACTGAATATTCGATACTTTAACCATCTCTCGTTCTTCCTGTCTTAGGTCCATACCCACATCTGACCATGATCTTTAAGCAGATAAAGATGGAGGGCTTCATGCAGTCTAGGTGGGAGCACAAACACCCAGAATCCCTCAAGAGACTGATGGGATGGTTGAAGGAGGTTAGTGACCGAAAACATTTTATTATTATGAGGCCTCCCCGTCCTCGGTAAAGCTTTTATCACAATAATTAATGTTTCTGTTGTATTGATTGTGATTTTTGTTTTTTTCCTGCAGGGCAAAATTAAAAGTCGGGAGCACGTCACAAACGGCTTTGAGAAGATGCCAGCTGCTTTCATGGGGTTGCTGCAGGGAGACAACATCGGAAAGGCCATCATCGCAGTCTGAACACGGAGAACAGTAACACAACAGTTACGCAACAATAACTGTCAAATACATACATACATGAAGGATAAGCCATAGACAGGAACAAGTTAATAGAGTCTGATATTAGAGAATCATATAAATGTATCGGCTGATACATACAGGATATGAACAGATAGGCTTGATATTTTACAGTTTAACCATAAACTTCATTCTAAATAGAAAGAAAACACAAATAAAACCAAATGCATAGAGCTTGAAAGAAGAAAACGAACATTTTAATGTTAAATATAAACATAAGTGCACAATTATTTGCATTCTTTATTCTGTGGAATAAAACAAAATTGTATCTGCAAATATAAATGCAGATTTATCTGTCATGTCAGCTGAACAGGCTCTACTACTAACCACCTATTTTAATGTTGATTTTTTGAATATTTTTGTAGTCACCATCAAAAAACACATTAGTTATGTCAAGAAATGTGATTTATATATTTTTTTTTCGCATTAGTTCTTAATAAGCTTAAATCTTAGACAAGTAGTCCTCAAGTTTGATGGGATATTAATTCTTTTTTTTCATTACTTACTTCACAGCAATAGCACAAGCATAGTTTTCACAGCAAACAATGATCCCATATTTGAGTATATGTAAGTACGGAGAGACCAGACAGCTGATGGAAGGATGTTAAGTACCTAAATGCTCTGTGTGGATCTGCTGCAAAATATTCGCCTACTGTGACATAATCAACCATGTGCTTTGTATTAAATGAGCATTTATTAAGGTAATAAAACTTTGTTTAATTCTCTCTTCATGTTTCAGACTGAGGTGTGTTAATTTATTCGTCCTACATTCAAGTCCTGATGAGAAGAAGCGGGATAAAAACCTCAAATGAAAAAAGGGAGGTCCTCTCCATTAAAAGAGAAGTGGACTGTAGATAATAGAGCAGGAACCATCAGCCTCCTGCTGCCCTGCCAAGCTTTTTGTCTCCGTCAGAGAAAAGACTATTTTTAGAAACCAATCTGAATTTCATGAGGACACGAGGAGCTTCATCTCCATGGTCACATAGCATGCTTTCAGTCTGCTGCGGCCAATTTTAGGGCAATGAGGCGGCACAAGGTTCACACATGCAGTGTAGTAGTGTGGTAGCTTGTCAATGGGAGCATCATTTTTAATTCCATATGTGGCCAGCAGAGGTCCCGACTCCTGTTGTCCACCAGCAGAACAGGTAGAGAACGAAAGCACAAAGTATCACTATGGTCACACAGAACTTTTTTTTCTAAGTTCTGCTCTACTTTTCAAGAGTTTTTTTAAATATATATTTGTGTTTTGTTATGAAATGTGAGTAGTGACGAATAAGTACAATAAAAGTAGTGAGGACATATTTTATCGCTCACACGGTGAAGTACTCATTTTAAATAAATATAGTAAATGATTTTATACCAAAGTCAAATAAGTTTAGAGCCACACTGAACGTGTTAGTCATGTTGCAGACAGGCTGGTTCAGTGGAACTCAGGGCGCAGTCTCGGTCAGTTACGGTAAAACCAGAATGTGTCAAGTCATTATGACTTGATTTACCGGTAAACCTCTTTATGTAGATTTATGTATATAATTATAAATATATTATAAATATATAATAACTTGATATAAAGTCAGATATGCTCTTCTACCATTATTCCACATGTGGTCGAAGTGAAGGATTAAAATGGAATCAAACCACTTTGGATGTAAAGTAACAGTAGACTTTCAAAATAAACGTCTTCCCTGGCGAAAACTACTTCACAGGGATGGAAGTAAAAAAAAAAGTAGTCAGATCCTCGACTTGAATAAAATACTTGACAACAATTGCACCTCATGCAGCCACGGATGTAATATCAGCTAAATCAGTTAGAGTGTGAGGGTAAAACTTCTCTTTTCATCGAGGAGAGCAAGTCCAGTATATCAACATATTATTTAAAGGGGGTGCAGTGAGTGTTTGTCATTATCTGCCCCTAAAATTTAAACCACAACCTTCATCAAGCTGCAATAATCAGTCTTAAAACTTAAACTATCACGATCATTATTAATATTGACCTTTTTTTTAAATCTTGGGTGTATTTTTACAGCTTATAACAACATATACCATTTTAACTAATATTCCATTTTAACTTACATACCATTTTAACTTATATACCATATTGATTTATAAAACATATTGATTTAAGTAGTAAACACTAGATATAACCCAACCCGTGCTTTTATTTTGTAAAGGCCTGTGCATTTAGTTCCGCTGTCAGACTGCAGGGGCGGGGCTTGAGAAGCGGCTCATTAAAACCCAGCGTCTGTCCGGACAAAGCGCCATTCACGAAGACTCCTCCGCCTGATTTTCCTCCGTAAACACACGCGCGCAGCTGTCATCATGGTGTACGAAGTGGAGAGTCTCGTAAGTTCTGCATTTTATTTCTTTATCGGTGTTTAATTCACGCGCAGAGGCGGTGGAAGGTTTCACCGCACGATGCTGCTGCTCCTGCGGCCGCTCCTGCTCCTCCTCCTCCTGCTGCTCCTGCTCCTGCTCTCCCGGTTCTGTCCTCCGGGTTTAATCTGTATTTACTATCGAAGTCAAACGACTCTTTGATTCTGTTTGCACGTTTTTAACGCGTCTGAGTTCGAGTCCCGGTGAAACAGTCGGATAACGATGTGGTGGCAGATGAAGCTGAAGTCGGTTTCACAATCGCCTGTTGGGACAGTTTGGGTCTCGGTTGATTTTCCTGAAATAAGTTGGTGAAGTTAGTTTCAGATGCTCAGCTCCTCTGTGTTCTTGTCTCATTAAAAACTTCTTCTCTGTAATAACTCGCATATAAACACATCATTGTTTGAATGGAGTCTGGTGCACTGAGGACATGAGATTCATAATAAATGTTCCTGGATCTTAAAGTGGGTTTACATGCAGTCTGTGGTCCAAACACACCTGAACAGTTGAACTCACATGTTTACAAACCGACCGGATGAACCGCCTGTTTCAAACCATTGTCTGGATGTTCTTTTAATTCCCACAGTTGATCCGCTGAGTTTGATGGAAAACTATGCAAACAATAATTTGATAAATAATATTAAAATAATATAAACGTGACACTGAGCTTTAAAACATTTAAAAGTCTTAATTGTTAATGGATTTCAGAATGGAGGTTTTTTTAAATGGATAAAATAATAAAGTTAACTTATGTAAAAGTGGGTTTTTTACAGCCTCTGTATTAATGAATCTACATGACGCGTACATAACAACGGATTAGTTCATCGATCACATTATTAGTATTATTATTATTATCATCATTATTATTATTATTATTATTTCACTTTATCCTCCGGTTCGAATCGGAAGCTAACTTCCCCTCAGCTCCGTTAGCTCGTCACCATGTGAAGCACTTTTCCTTCGCCATCTTCCCGCGGGTTTACGGCTCACGTCACTGACGTCACGCACGACCGACACATGTAAACTAAACTGTGTAATAGCAACATGATGCTAGCTGCTAGTGAGGCTACTGGTGGCGGCTGCAGATGCTAAAAGGGGGATGCTAACGTCAGTGTGGGTGGACGTGGCCCGGGTGTGCCCAGAGTCCCAGTGAATGCATGATAATATAATAATAATAATGAAGTTTTAGTTCTAATTATTAGATCAGTTGTAGAAAAGTTGCATTAATTTCTTTAGCACTTCTCAAAACAGAGAGTGCTTCACTAATGAAAGGTGCACACACGTTCTATACAACGATAGAGGTGCAGTCATACTATAATTAAAGCGTAGAACATTTAAGTAAGGCCGCTCATTACTATGATAAAAACTAGGATTGGGTAAAATCAGGGAATACAATAATTACATAGTACACGGGCCAGAGACTGCAGGTTTTTAAAAATGTTTCACAGTCAGATTGGATGAGTCCCCACAAACATTACTCCACCAGACCCTAAAAGAAGGAATGTTTAGTTCCGGTGTTGTGTGATACTTTGTTAGTCTGTCTCTCGTCTGCACAGGGAAATTCAAGTAGAACGATAAATGCTTGGAAGTTCTCATTATCTAACTGTGCTGTGTGGATCAATTCAAAACTCTAAATTAAACTTGTCTGTAGCTGATGCTATTGTCTTTCTTCTTCTTTTTTTTCCCATATTCTTTAGGATGACTTCCGAAAACAACTGAAGGACGCCGGAGACAAGCTGGTGGTGGTGGACTTCACCGCCACGTGGTGTGGCCCCTGTAAAATGATCGGCCCATATTTTGTAGTGAGTGGACGATTGTTGCACTTTAAGTCAAGTGAATAAAAGAACAGAACGTGGTTAAAGGATTTTGAAATGGTCTGGGAGATGAGTTAGATAATGTTTTAAACAATAAAGTTCTCTCACATGTGACGAGTGAGAACCCAAAATAAATAACACATCCAAGATGTTAGTTTTTCTAGTATCTCAGGTTTTATTCCACATTCGGACAAAATGCACTGCGTATTTTTGGACAGTCTTCCTAACTTCACCTTCACTGATTCTGTCTCTCTTGCAGGAACTGTCGAACGAGTATCCCAACGTGGTTTTCCTGAAGGTGGACGTGGATGAAGCTGAGGTTAGTGTGTTGCTGTCCACAGTGGAAGTCCAACAGAGCAGCGTAAAGGAAACTCTGTGAGAAGGAAATGTCCTTATTGTTTAGTTGGGACTAATGTTGACGGGGCAGCCACGCCATTAATACTCCCAGCAATGTGGAGTATTCATGAAATCCATTTAACCGAGTCATGTGACTGAGGTTTCTGTCCGTCACTGCTACAACTTGGTGACGCGAGAACAGACTCTGCTACTGGATACGAGTGTTTGTGCTGAGCTCTGGGACGTAAACATGTAAATGAATAACCGGTCACACTTAAACATTAACAGAGTTCGTCTGCTCTCGTGGTGAAACACTGTGACACACAGAGGATTTTAGGATTTGATCAAACTCCAGCTGATATCTGATCTGTGAAGCTGTTAACAGGAACCTTTGGTATCAAGTTTGATTCTCTCATGATGAACCATCTACTCAGGTCTGAGAGGTGATTTATTATCTGTAATGATTTGTCTCTAGTGTGCCGTAGGAGATTTCCCAGAAACACTTTAAAATGATTTAAAAGTTAATTCATTACTGTTGTGTCACACTCAAGATCTGTTCAGAGACTGAGCCCTTAAATGAAAACAAGCCTTAGGCCACATTACATTTCTCATATAAAAGACTACACCTTTATGAAAACACATTTAAATTCACTAGATCCAGAATTTTATTTGGATCGGCACCAAATTACACTCACTCATAAATAAAAGTCCCCTGAACATTAAAAAAAAAAAAAAAATCACGACCCATGAATTATTCTGGGAAATCAAAGGAAATGTTTTAAACGCCCTGTCTCGGTCAATGTTAAAGAGTTTAAGAAAAAAAACAGGAATTTACTTTTGCATTGTACATTCACGTGTTATCGTTCCAGCCGTCTGAATGTTCTTTCCTTTTTCTTCAGGATGTCAGTTCAAGTTGCGATATCAAGTGCATGCCCACCTTCGTATTTTTCAAGAATGGAGAGAAGGTGAGTGTCGAACATAAGACCAAGATGTTCTGCTGTTTTTTCAACAGGAACAATTTCTTTAACATTCACTCATTGAAAGATGTCATCTTTTTATTCAGCACTCGTTTTTGAACTAACACCGTCTTTAACCTTGTGTCTCTCAGGTGGACGATTTCGCCGGTGCTAACCGTGAGAAACTACTAGAGCTGCTGAAGAAACATCTTTAAGTCCCAAAGACCAAACCACACACGACCCTGTTCTACGTGCTCCACAGAAACCGCCAGTAGCCTCGCCTCTGTCCACGCAATGCACGACCATCGGCTCCTGTTTTTCTAAATAGCAGGCGGACATTTATTCTACTCATGTGCTAGTTCCATAGTCATGTCACATCCATGTATGTAACATTCAAACACTTTTAAAATCCTGTACAGAGAATTTGTCTTTTTCTCCTGAACGTCTCGTTGTAACGTGTTCAACAAGGTGGGATTAATAAATGAAGATGAGTTACATCAACTTTGTCTGATTTCTCTTTATGAACCACAACACATCGTTTTGACTCACAACCTCACGAAAGAGCATTTAATGGTATTTTATGCTTTAATAAAAATGTGAGAATAGTTTACACATATACATTGAACAATTGCATCAATAGTTTTTACACATCGTACAAGTATATAGCAGCATATGTTTTAATACTGTTGAGTCTCTATATGAAAAAATACAGCTTTATTTTACAAAATGGTTCTTGCTTTGTCTTTTGTGGAGAGATGAGACTGGTTTGCTCGAGTGTCAGTTAACTTTACAAGAATTCCCTTCATAGGACGATTCACACAGAGCTGAGGCGGAACTTTAGAAGTGATAGTATCCTGATTTCCTTTTCCTGCAACGAGAAAAGAAGAAATTAAAGTTTTGGAAAATTAAGGCTTAGTCCAAGACTTTTTTCAACGGAATAAAAATCTATGTATATGTGTGTGTGTGTGTATATATATATATATATAAAGTAAAAGGAAAGCAAATGAGCTACATAATGTAATTCACTTAAAAGCATTAAATCACTGACAGATCTGAGTCAGGGAACCAGGCTCATGCTGTCACCCACAGGAGTCACCATTAGAAAGTCTTTTTAGAAAATATGTGACTCGAGCTTCACCCAAGACTATGGTCTTGGTATTTTTCCATGGAAACAATTACACAGGATGTAAAATATTCTGGAAAAGATCCACTTATAATGAGTGAGTGATTAATATGAACCAGTGGGGCCTGTCATAGAGCTGGTCCCTTCAGCTCAGGCTGTAGTTTCAGTTTCAGTTTCAGTGAAATGTTTTTTTTTCATACATGTTCAACAACATATGAAAGTCACAGATGTAAATACACTTATTGTAAGAAGTGCTGCTGTCATTATTCACATAGAAATATTATATTAAAACATTATAGACATTTTCTTCATTTTGAAAAAAACTTTGGGAAAGTTTTCGTGAGTGTGTGTGTGTGTGTGTGTGTTTGTGTGTGTTTGTGTGTTCACCGGGAGCAGTCGTGTCCGCTCCACCCTGAACTGCAGTGACATCTGTTCGGCCTGATGCATCGACCTCCATTGAGACATGGTGATGAACACACAGCTGTGGGGAAGTCGCATGTGCACACGCACGCACACACACACACACACACAC